CGCGATAGATAATATTATCGCGCGATAATTTTATTACTAGCTCCCATAGCCCCACGACCATTAGCACGTGGTCACATCTATAACAAGATGGCGGACCATGTTTCGAAGGTGAGTAATTGTCCACGAAATAAAGACTTTTATTCTAGATTTTTGAGCACGAGACGGTAATCTTTGGATTAAATTAAATTATATTTCTATGCTATCTTAGTACGTGGGGTTAAAGATATGAGAGGGACTTTATTGCTCTATATTTAAAAGATTGTTTATGAATATAAGGTTTAGGGATACGTTTTTAAACTATATAAGATTTATAAGGTGAAAGATTGTTTATGAATATAAGGCGTAGAAAGCATAGAAATATAATATAATTTAACCCAAAGATTACAGTCTCTTGCTCAAAAATCAAGAAAAAAAGTCTTTATTTCTTGGACAATTACTCACGTTCGAAACTTGGTCCGCCATCTCGCTATGGATGTGACACGTGCTAATGGTCGGGGGGCCATGGGAGCTAGTACTAAATTATCGCGCGATAATATTATCTATCGCGCGATAAGTTGTTGTATCGCGCGATAAGTTGTTCTATCGCGCGATACAGTGTTCTATCGCTATATCGCGCGATAAGTCGTTCTATCGCGCGATAAGTTTATCTATCGCGCGATAATGTTGATTGCAAATTTTTTGAATGAATGGGCTTAGCAAAACTTATCGCGCGATAAAGTCATGAAAATTTTTGTAGGTGGATGGCCCTTGAGAGCCACCGTACAAAACAGCGTATTAATATGATTTTATATTCGTTGAGTAAATTATATTGCGACAACAGCTGTGAAATAAGTTTTCTTGGTCGAGAATGATTTTCTTCAAAATTATATTTTGTCTGCTCTGTTGCAGGTCGATCTTTCAAACACTGAGCGGGATCAACAGCACATCCAAACAAGTGTGACCGAGGCAGGTTCTGATGTTGCTATTTGAACAACGAGACAGACTTATAGCCACAATAACATTTATTTATACAGGAAAGTACAAAAGAAATAATACTGATAAAAAAGAGAGGGTGATTGCAAGCTAAAAGAAATGGTAAATGACAAATAGCAAATCAATAATTTAAAATAATGAAATAAAACAATTAGTAAAAAAAATACAATCGATTGTCATACAATAGCAAGGCACTAACAAGACAATTTTAAAGCATTGCATGACAGAACAGTAATCATTGTGTAAACACTTAAAAGGCTTAATCCTATCAACCAAACATAGAACTATTGAATGGTGGGCTATTCTTAGAATTATACATGAAATGATTGAAAACAAGTCAATACTGATATAACAATAGCTCAAAACAACATAACGTTAGATAAGACTAATTTCAATTACAATTTCATATTTTCCTTCGACTTAAAACTAGGAAGACTGGCAAAATCTCATTCTGTAACAGGACAACATCTGTCATTACTGACAACTACACAATGAAGACTGTAGTGAAATATCTGATTTCACCAATGAACTTTAAGTCAAGTATACAGATAAATGCAATGTTCTGAAAGCTAAATGCAATCTTGGCACATTTTGAACATGAATCAACTAATATAAGGATTCAAGCAAAGACTTAACAATTGGATTGAGATAAGTACACATGAACCATATTATTCTTGAACTCAAACTGTAAGACATACAATAATAGGTCAAATGTGACATACCAAATCCTCAGTAAAATAGGTCACTAACTTGAGGTTACAAGTACTGGAGTTACTTTTTTGTGACCAAGAGGTTCTGAGCTTGTAAGTGCT